CTGGTACAATGAATACACATAGTAATCAGGGAGACGCTACAGTAAATATATTTGACTCTTTTACGACGTATTATAAAGTCTCACAGAGGTGTTAAATTTATTGCGTCCTGGCGAGAGCCATACATATTTGCAGCTATATGACTCAAAGTATCAAAGAACGGGAATTTACATTAAAAACAGGATTTGAAGTTATGACAACAAAAACCAATAAGAATTACCTGTTCGAAGATCACTTCATCAGTCAACAGGTTTGTTCGTACAGTAACGTTGTAACAGTATGTACATCACTGGCTCTCATTGAAAAACAATTTCTATGTCAATTATAATTTTCTAGTATAAATATTTTTTTGCATTTTGTTTACAGAATATCGTATTAAATTAATTTACCCTCGTTACTGATGCTTATGTACACATTTTACAATTAATCAATTATACGAACTAAAGTAATGCATGGGTTTTGTCACAGATAACAAGTTCACATTGAGAACAAATACCAGACATCTTTGGGGTCATTATGAAATTAACAAAATCAAGATCTAGTCTGATTCCGATAAAGATATTCTTCACGAACAGCAATATATAGAACCAGCTAGGAAATTGCAAACATTCCTAAAAAACATTGCATGCGAATCTGTGAAGCATTAGCTTCCATTTTCAGTTTTTTGCATGAAAATTCTGCAAACTTTTCACTAATTTAGTGCAAATTGTTCATTTATATTCTTTGATTATACAATTTAACTCCTGGAATTTTTTTCCGAATTGATTTATAAATATTGAATATTATTTTGGTTGTTTATACTTCACAATATGTATTGTGTATGATTTTACACTACTTGCGTATTTATTTTATAATTAACTGATAATGTAAGGTGAATTATTAGAATGTGTATTTACCATATTTCTCATAACATTTTCATTGTTGAAATGCATGACGCAAATGTAAATATTGTCTTTTAATTTTCTCTTTTGCTGGGGAAAACTTCAACCTATTTCTTTTTACTACCTTATCACTTCGATACAAAAAACAAAGCTGTTTGATGTGATTCTATCACTGTTACTATCACACGGTTTAACGAAGCATATTCGACCCACTTTTGGAAACTTCTAAATTTACTTCACACTGGAATACAGCTTTTACTACTGTACGAAAGATGGACTGCTCACCATGCTGTCAATAGAAGCCATCTTGCCCAAAAAATACCCACTTAGATTGCAGCGCTTATATGCGAGAACTGTGAAAACTAGCCTCACATAGCCCGTCATGTGACCTGTGCATAAAGTCGTCACCTTACGCGTGGAGCTAAAGCTCCCTATTAAGTACTCCCCACAGTCGCAAAATGATAGAACAAATCACGCAAAATAAACTCTCAAACCAAATAATTCGCCGAGTACTGTGGAAGTACCTATGTCAATCATCGAAGAAGAGCACGAAAGAGGCCATTCTTAAATAGAAAAAATCGACCTGCCAGAATTAAATTCTGCAGAGAGAACGAAAATAAAGATACGATGTTCTGAAATGACGTTATTTGGTCGGATGAAACGAAAATAACTATTTATTTTCTTATGAATGCCGAAGGGTAAGGAGAAAGGTAAATACGGCCAACGAAACTTGCAACACCCTGCCTACTGTGAAACATGGAGGAGAATCTGTGATGATTTGGGGGTGCATGTCGTCGATGACATCATGAACAAATGGAGATAGATGTCTCGAAGAAAAATGTTAGAGTCCAGAAAAAATACAATTAGGGCCAAGATAATGACCCAAACTCATCAATCTCCTGATCTGAACCCGATCGAGCATGTATGGGTTGATTTGAAAATGAGGGTGCATTAAAGAATTATCTGTCACTGGAACAATTAAAATGTGTTCTCAAGCAGTTCTCAAAGCTAGAGACTACACAACAGAGTATTAAATATTTTTTCTTCTGAATTAATGAATATATTCTTTAATTTTTTTGATAGTGTACAAATAAGACTGTTGTACGGTAATAACAATATTTTTGCTAAATTATTTATTTGTATTTTTATTAGAAATCAAATTAAGTGTTTGTTGGTTGTTTTTGTTTTCTCAGTTCTCTCTTTTCTCTTATATAAAGAATACAAGAAATATAACATAGTGTAAATATTAAATTTTTAGTTACAAAACGTGTACAAACAAGCTAAACAAATTTTCTTCGTCATTAAGTCATCTTAAACAGCGCAAATACCATTATTGGTACAAAAACTTTGAAGCAAAAGTTTTGAGCCCCCTTCGAAAAAATGGTGTTTGAGTGTTTCTAAGAATGCGGATATTATTGAGCTTATTGTTCACAGAAAACTGTTGAGTTTTCGAGAAACTTTATATTCTAAAAAAGAGAGATTCTTCAGATAGGGCTTCAAGAGAAAATCGCAAAAGAACTATAAAAATTCGCTCAGTTTTTAGTTTTTCGCTTATATTTCCAAAACTATAGATTTTAACGAAAAAATTGTTTACAAAACTAAAGAAGTTAAATTTTCTAGAAAATGAATTAACTTTAATTTTTTTGAAAAGAGGTTCAGGTGCTAGAAGGCGCTGAAAAACTGTTATTTTTTGGGACTAAGGCCAAAGTGACAGAATAGCTTTTTCCAGCTATCGTATCTCGTGATGGAGCTCTAGTTTCACTTTAGCATGGTTGAAAACAACAATTGTGGCATTGTTAAACGATTGACACAGGTACAGAATCGGTATGGAGGTATTTGCTCGCGTGGAGTATCTATAAATCAGACCGAACTGAGGCCACCATCAGCAAATCAACCGCACTTATACTCCGATTTCCTAAACAACATTCTCAATTCATTAGAAATCTTTCAAAAATGTTGTGTTTCTGTTAGAATTATAGTATAACTACTCATAAGCCATTCGGTTGATTGTTTAGTGATTCCGGGTACGTCAACTACCAGTCATTATTCCTGTAAGTGTAATGCATGTTTTTTGTTCGGGAGGTGGCGGTGATCATTCTCCCACTGTATGGCCATATCCGGCGCCAACATACCGTCGGCTAGGATGGTTTTCCCACCAGCGAGCTCCCCCACCGGGACAAGCTTTCAGCTCCTGACGGGCCTCGTCATGTGTGGTAGGTAGTGCGTGTGTGTGTGTAAGGGGTGAGGATAGGAGAAGGAAGAGGAAGGTGGGGGTCGCGCGCGGTCCGTGGTCCATTTGTTAGGGTACTGCTCCGGTATTCGCCTCTGCAGGATCGGAGAAACAACGGAAAACTTCCGATCAGAGCAGCCGGCCGCTAGAATTCTCCTCCAGACAGCGACTGAATTCGACCTAGGTAACAAGTTAGTTGATAGTAGAAAATTCTGCAACCGTCGGGGAACCTCTCTTTCAGAGGGACTGCAGTGACATCAGATGCCGTGAGCCATCTCACCCGGTATATGTCATTCGGTTTAGGGAAACTTTTTATGCGAGGGGACCCTTTGTCCCCCCAATAAAAGATCCGAAATCCCTCTGCATACAGAGGCATAACAGTAATGAAATAAAAAAAAACCAAACTATCTGAACCTGACATCCACCACCTGCTCTGTGATTGGTCTTCGGTAGAATTCCGACGAAAACCTTTACGTAAAAGCTTAGTACTTGTTAACTCTTTTAAGTTTACGGATTTATGTCTAAAGTTACGTCAAAGCATTGTGAATGGTCTTGACAAAATAAATCGTACTATAATGTTGTTCACATACACCGAATGGACGTACGGACAGACCGGCGTTTTGGGGGGGAAAATCGGTATCAGGGGCACCCAAAATGTGTTTTACCGTTGAAATCTCTAAATCGATTATACGAGAAAATAACTAGTGGTGCTTCAGAATAGTACAGACTCTCTTACTAGATATTTTTCTAATCTCGTTGGTCTGGGCAAACTTCTGGGTTCTTGTCTTCATCAGATCTTTGCCATTGTTTATAAAAGAGGGTATGACAGTGTAATAGCTATTATTTTATAAAATGTAACCTCAAACGTCCACGTTTCACCGTACATTTGGTAACATGGCGTCCGATTGGTATACGTGGGGCGTTGCTTCAACCAAAATTTTAATTGCAGAGTATAAGCAATTAGAATGTTTATATAACACTGTTCATCCGGACTACAAAAATAAAACCAAACGAAAAGCGTAGGCATATTTTCCCGAGAAGTGGAAAATGTCCAATTCATGAAAGTAATTTTTTTACCTTCAAAATCAAAGGACCCCAATTTCGAAAGAAGGAAGAACGACAAAGATAATTGAAGAATTTCTCGTCCAGTCTCAAATAATTCTTCATTTCTAAATTCTTTAATATATGCTTCACAATGTGCGACACATGGCCTCAACCTCAAACGTCTTCCCTTTACCTTTTACTTCTTTAGCATTAAACCAACGCTACCTAGGTGGAGTAATTTAACCTAAATTAGTTATTATTAAGCATAAAGTAGCACAAACACGACTATTTCTGCGTCATCCATCTTGAATCGCGAGCAAAACTACAGGTCGCAAAGTTTTCTTGATACAAGAGTTCTCTAGTCCTCATACAGTGCTGAATATCACGGCACGCTGAGATACTTAGGTTTCACTCGGAACGGCACGTACCGATTTACAATGCTGGATACAACCACCTAGTACTTTCAAAACAATCGTAGCATTTCTCAGGGCACGATTTGGCGACTCTAGCATAGAGATATATGTATCTCTCCTCTATGGACTCTAGTTCATGCCCACAGTTGGTACGCCCTTTTCAGCCGTGGCGTAGCCAAAGATCTTCTAACTACCCTAGATTGCTAACTCGTCCAGTCAATGCATTGGATCAGGAGAAGCCGGTCGCCATATTAGAAACGGGCAAGAAGCTGGCGGGAATTTGAATTCTAGTAGTGTCAAGCTCATACCCTGAGGGAATGAACACTCAATTACACACAAAACGGTTTTAAATAATTTATATATGTTAAAAAATAAAGTAACGAATAATATTATTTATTTCAAGAAAAGCTTAATTGTTACAAGTTTGAAGAGAATGGCACTAAATAACTAGAATTATATTTACATATTGTTAAATAATGTCAACTTATTCAGTTTATGTCTTTTACTGATAGGGCATGTAACTTAAGCAAAATGTTTGGCCTGGGAGAAGTCTTTATTTCTGAGTGGTTATCCACTATTGAACTGATAAGCTGGATTTTATGAGGAACATCAGTTACGTCAGTGGCTATAGCACACAGATTAGTGCCAGGGAAAAAGTTTTCATTTAATGCACATGCCGCTTTATGCTATGTTTCACTTTCTTAACTAAATATGAAGCAGATGCACCCTTATCTCTGAAGTGGAAAGACAACTGCTTCTCAGTTTCAAGTACAGTTTTGTACACACATTCTGCAGCTGACAAGACCACCTCAGTTTTTCACATCAAATTTTGTGTACTCTGCAAAATGCAAGTAACTGTACACAACTCTTTCCCCGATTAAAGCATTAACACAATTACAACAAGTAATTCGTATGGTCAAGGACTGAACAATAAAGTCACACACATAGTACAGCACATTGTCCCTTATATCTATTAATTGTGGGTTTAGAACATCTCCAATGTTGAACTGTAGAATAAGAGATTCACCATGCACACTTTCACTTTCCAGTTTTTTCCCCTTCTATTTTGGGCTAAAAATTGACTCTACATCATCACCATTAAGGGCAATGCAATTAGCTGCAAAAGAAGTGGATATACTGTTTTTCTGCAGTATCTGCTTCAGAACTACAGTCAACTGTTAAACATTGGGGTTGTTGTTGCAACCTTATCTCCTCCTAATTCTAGAGAATAGCATCTCAATATTATTTAGAGAAAATCTGTAAGTAAGTACATACTTGAGAGGATTTTCAGCTCTGTTAAACACTTCCATCCCAAAAGAGAAAACTGATTTGACAGCAGTGGTCAAACCAAGAACAAATGTTTTCCTAGGTGAATGGCAAAGTAGTCTTTCAAAGAAAATAAATAATTTACGTCTTCAATTATTTGCATTTCTCTGTTAATGACATTGTCAAAGAAGAGGGTTTTTGTAGCCCCTGGCAAAGACTTCTGCTATTGAGGATGTCTAAGATTCTTTCCACGACCTGAATGAAATGAACAGTAGCTTTACTATCCTGAAACTCTCTAATTTGGGACATATCTAAAAATGTAAGTGATCTCCAACTGAAGAACTTAAAGTTAGAGCAGATAACTTTACTTTCATAGAGTAACATTTCCATTCTACATGTTTTCTTGTGACTTTGTTAGCTAAATTCAATGATGTGGAAGACTGAATTTTCTCCAACTTCTCAATAAAGAACCACTGTATTTCTCCATCTGGGGCATTAAATTTTAAATATGTCCCAAGAGCATTACGAGCCAATTTCAAGTTGTGGCACGCATCACAAAAAAAATGCACACAATATCCTGCGGTTGGATGCTTAAGATCACATTTGATTGCTTCAAAATTGCTGGCATCAATATCACAACCAAGTGCAATCATTGTTTGTAAATTTGTGCGTGTGCCATCACATGTTACACCTTATTATTACACCAACCTCAAAGCTCATGATCAGAGCAGTTTTCACTAGTTCAGTTTGAACCACTGCATTTGGCTTGTTTACAAAAAATACCCAATTGGCAACTTTCACTTGCTTGTCAATGAAACCAGCATGAACACCAATACCTCAGAAGCAGGAACTTCAGAACCTTCCACAGCAAATGTACCAGTCACAATAACCCACAGACTTGCTTTAGGATCTCACACAACATCTTTCCTAATAGCCAAGCTATGAAACACTAAATCACACCCTGCCTTCTTCAGTTGTAGTACATTAATATTGGGCCTACTAAAGACATCATCTTTAAAATGATCACTGCAAATTCGGGTGCTCCTGGGAGGAACAAAATTCTTCCTCTTCACAGCAATAACCCAAATTTTCAGATTCTCTTTGTCATTCACAGGACACCTGCAAGAGTATAGATTATTCATTTAGATTCTCACAAGGTAGGCAAATAACCAAAAATAAGAATGATAACAAGTATAACGCACAGTACGTACTTGAAAAATGTATTTTCCCGTCGGTTTTACTCGTCGGTTCGTACAAGCATTCACGCAGCACGAGTCTGGCATTACGAACTCGCACAAAAACATACGGCACCACACTTACTACACCTTGCCTGTTGGTCGTTTTTGCCCGTTTTAAAGACGGCGCACCGACTTCACTTTTGAAGGTCGAGTTAGCAATGGTTAGCAATATCTCTTCTCTAAGAGTCAAAGCACAGTCAAAGCATCCCCTCCCGATTTGCAATTGTCATGTTTCCTTCGTCAAAGATCAAAGATTTTCCACAAAGTTCGTCAAAGATAAATGTCAAATATCTCTTACAGTGTAATACTTGCCTATCGTCGCCCATAGTACATTAAAGAAAATTTGCAGTGTTTCGGTTTCTTAACGATAGAACCGAAATATTACTTTAAGAATATTAAAGAAGGAAAGAATTACACAAATGTACTTTGACATATCTCACGCCGTTAATAAGCACATTTCCAGTAATTTAAATACACAACTGCATTTCTGAGTTAAGGTGCTTTTAATGACCTCCGATGAAGTTTTTCGAAAAATCAAAACTTTTCTGTGAAAAAGAGCTTCGAATTTCGCTTTTAGAATAACGCTTAAACTCCATTTTCGTAAAAACGGCTCCGAATTTTTCAATGAAAATTGCCATTTAGGGTGAGGTTTTACTGTTCTCGTTTTTCGTTCGTGTATAGACCAACTTGTACCACATGTGCATCCTGCTTCAGCAGGTGTGCAAGTACCATGGATGAATAACGAGTCTATGAAAGTACGATTATTCGAGGGGGTCATGATCTATCAGAGGCAGCTGTAAATAAATCGCAATATAAAGTAACATGTGATCAAGAAAGAACTCACAAAACGTGCCCAAATTGTACATGATAACATTAAAATATTGTTTTTTGGCAACATATTATTTGAAAGAAAAAAATATATCAAAAAATTAAATCACTTGCTGGAATTGAAACCTTTTTGAGAGAAAACGTGGCGCGCTTCCCCAAAATATTTCGTTTGTTCGATGGCCAAAAGTTTGTTGATTAAGCAATGACTCAACTAGGTCTAGCATTTTTAAAATTATTCGAGATTCTTTTTTTACGTATGTTTTGTTGCTGTACGTTGTATTCTATTGGTGTATGTATAGCTACTGTTGGCTATGTGTTGTATTTAATAACACACATTCGAAAATATTCATTTTCTTTCTATCAAATCCAATACCTAGGAAAAAAAGAACCTGGTTAATACATTACGCTAAAAACGCTCATGTGTGCAATCTCTATACAAAGAGTAAGACAATAAACATCACAGTTAAAATCATCACGAAGTCACACAGTTCGTGTATACTGGTTGATTGACAACCTTGTCTTTACTCTGCTGGATGAAGCTAATACACCAATCCAGAAGCAATTTATGAGCGGAATAGTTTTCAAGTTGAAAAGGGTGCGTTCTATTTTAGGCGGAGAGCTTAAAATTCAAATCAGCTCACTTAATCATCAAATATTATTCTACGATAGTATCGAAACATTGCCAGTTCTACCCTTAAATACATTTTTCCATAACTGTGTAAATAAGGTTACAAAGTTATTGAAGCTTTTAAAAATATGAGAAAAGGGATGAGATAAAAGAGCAAAAATTGCCTTTTATAACGCAATGTTGGCAGCAGTGAAATTCTCATCCGGACGGAAGGACGCCAAGAAGATAAGAGTCTTCTTACCAGCGATTTTGTAAACGAAGTTGTAGGGTAAGTGGAGCTTTTACTGTGATTAGAATTGTGGGATGATCAAGATCGAGGCAGAGGAAATGGACAATGCTTCTATGAAAGTGCGCGACAGGTAAGCGTAGTTTGAGGTATTGTAGAATGTTACCGGGTACACGAAGCATTTTCGCGACATGGCGGAAGGCAGGAATTCGCTATTGCTTTCCAATGAAGCCGCTGAATTTTAGAAAATTCTAGAGAAAAGTAATTAATTTCATGGCAAATTAGAAAGTTCCCATTTTCATGGTTTTACAAGTAGGTGTAACGAATCAATCCATGTAGACCGAACTTGTTTCACGGATGTTTCAAGGAAATTACGGCTGTTATTTCTATTTTCTAAAAGCTATTTAAATAGGGGTATTCTGAGTAGATTTAAGTTGAAAGAAAACTGCTGTACGAACATGGGAATACGCGCAACTTTGTCCCATACCCGCGAGTAAACTATCAAAATGGGTATGTCCTTTGGCGGGAAGACCGGTGTTTGTTGCTTTTATAGATACTAGAAAATAGTATCTCGTAATCACTTCAGGGATGTAGAAAATTAAACTCTTTAGATCGTATGAACTTATCTGCGGGTTGCGTTTTTGTTACAATCGTTACGCAATCCTGATACGGAGGTGCGTTGTATGAGATAGGGCGGAAGTTACGGCAGCATATTGTCCATTACTGTGTAAAGGTATGCGAGGTCTTTAGTGGCTAATGTTTTTGTATGTGATGCTTGGAAAAAAAATCACGTCCAAATTTTGCGAGATATTGTTTTTGTAAATTCTAATTTATTTGAATCAATTGTTACTCAACTTCTAAGACTCGAAATTCCTATTATTGTTCAGAGATTGTTTACATCAGAGTAAGTGAAATGGAAAAGAGCTGTGCTAGCAATGTACTGTGTCTAATCAGTATTGCAGCATCTTTTAACAAATTAATCAATTACGTTTGGGGGCATTGTTTGCACGCCTGTGTATTGTCCATGGTAATGTGGGTTTATTTACGATGGACTAATTGTTAGAAAGTGAAACTAACAAATTAGAAGTAAAGAGGTAACATTGGGAATACAATGCAATAATTTTAGACTGTTTGTAATTCTATTTCTAATTGCTACCTTTCTTCAGTAGTTAAACACCTTGGCAATGACAAATCTTGTCATTTCTTCTAGCTGTTTGAACTGCTATTATTTTTTTCTTCAGTGTTTTTATTTTTGTCTGCGGCTATCTTCTTGGAATGCTGACTTTTTTCTCAGTTGCTTTGTTGCTTAAAGGGGGGTTAGGTCTCCAAATATATTTTAAGTAACGTTCACAACCTGTTTTTTGTGGAACTTCAAATTCATAGTTACTGTAATGGTTTTTAATTCTTCACATTTTTATTTTCTCTACAAAGTATCCTGCATTGGTCATATTCTTAGCTTTTGTTTCAAATTAATTAATTAATTTATTTATTAATCGTGGCAAACTGCATGCAACCTTAAAAAATATAATTTTTTATTGTAGGAAATTTCAGAAATGGGCATTTGATTTAAGAGAACTTTTACTCTGATTAAAAGAAAGTCTTGTAGTTAGTAATATTCTGAATATCAACAAATTGCATACCTAATGGAACAGTAAAGCCATACAAATATCCCTGTGGGTTTTGTTTCAATTTTTATTAGAATTAACTCAAAATGAATTACTAATATAAACATTGTTAATAACTACATAATCTCTTGAATATCTTGTTCAGTTATTTTAATGTATGCATTTGTATTGGCTTTACAGTTATTTTTTCATTGTGGTGGTTCATTTGGTGGATTATTTGAGGGGGGGGAGGTTGAAGAAAGGTTAGAGAAATTAAGTAATGTTTATATTGGGAGGAACTCTTCATACTTTCTAATCTAAGTTACAGAAAACTTGATCCATATTCAGTGTAATTCCAATATTTATTTTTTCTGAATGTTTCTAGTATGGTTTGTGGAAAGTATATTTTGATTTAAATCTATGGTTAATTTACTTTTAATCAGGTGGGACATGTTATCTCTTTGAGCTTAAATTTTTGTTATGAAGCTCCTAATTAGGTAATTGTTTCAACTGATTGTTGTTAATTTGCCTTCTCTCTAAATAGTATTGAGAATGCCTGAATTCCCTATAAAAAACGTGCCAATGATTTCCACGTTCAATGATTTCTCAGTCATTTGAAAAGTGAAGTAGTTTCAGATGCACAGTTTTTATTTATTTATTAATTTACCTGCAAGCTAACAGGTTGTGTGTAAATTCACTTTTTTCAGGTTGAGATTTTAATTATATTGCACCCTTCGTGGATGACTTCTACAGGGGGGGTGTTATTTGGTTGCATATAAATGCCTGTGATGAGTCATGTCCTGGGAAAATGTCACAGTTCATATTGAAAAAAAGTTTTCTTCTCTTAAAATTGTTTTCCTGTCTTTGAAGAAAATTTAAACTAAAATAATCAAAGGGCCTTAGAATTTTATTATAGCATGCAGTATTAGAATTTTATCTAACATTACTCTTCACTTCCATAAAGTTATATTTACTTTATTTTAAACCTTTAAATTTCTATTCTATTTATTTTGACTTGTGGCAAATTTTATATTGGTGCACTTTGTATTCTCGGCTTACTAATTGGTTATTATTTTGGAGTTCAGTTAAACAGATGGTGTGCTGAGCTCTACTGCGGAATTGGCTACTATAATCTTGATTTTGTGTATAGTTCTTTAATTTTATAAAGCTCTTAATGCTGGTTGAGTTTGTTCACAATATATGGAGTGCATAAAATTCTTTATTAATTGTACTTTGATTGTAGTTTAAATTTTAGATTAAGAGGAGTATATAAACATTTCTATTAGGAACAAGAAGGTTCTTGAAGTTAATTTCTTTACAACCTGATTTGAAAATTGTTCTTTCAGATCACCTATCAACACTACAATGGACAGAAATGATGATGACGATTCAAACATGAGTGGTAACAAAGAAAGAGGTCGTGATAGAGACCGGGACAGACAGCGTAGAGGGGATCGTCCTAGCAGATTTGGTCCTCGAAGTGCATCACGTGATAGAGATAGGGGTGGCCGTAAAAGTGCAGCAGAACGCAGGATCTTTGTCTCCAATATCGCATATGAATTTCGTTGGCAGGAATTGAAAGACTTGTTTCGAACTGAAGGTGAGTTTGCTTTCAAAGCATTTAATGAACTTTGCCGGTTTTTTTTCTAATTAAAGTTTCTTTTTGCAGTTGGTGAAGTTGCATATGTAGAATTGTTCACTGATGAAAATGACAAGCCCAGAGGCTGTGGTATTGTTGAATTTGAATCTGCAGATTCTGTTAAAAAGGCTGTAGAAAAGATGCACAGATACGAGCTAAAAGGCAGAAAATTAGTTGTTAAGGAGGTAAGTTTTTAAATAGTTTTCTCTAATTCCTGGTATTTAGGTTATTCACTTGAATAATTATTAAAGATAATTGCTGATTTTCTATTACAGACATTTTAATTTTTAGAAATATGCTAAGTAAATATAAGGGGTCATCCGTAAATTACGTAGTACTAATTGGGAGCATTTTCAATACCCACTCTCCCCTTTGTAATATACTATAGAACGATTTTCTTACTTTCTCAGTTGTGCTGCCAGCACTATCGGACAATAGTAACATGTGCTTGAACACCCTAAATAATTACATAACACTTGCGACAACCTCTCCCTGTAAATGCTAGAAGTGAAAATAAATGATAGCACAGTAAAACAATTTGTATATATTTCACTGGTGTTGTATATAAAAGTTAATGATAATTAAAGTAGAAATTAGTTGGAGATGCTGGCTGTGCCTAACAATAAGATTGGGGGCAAGTTGTGGGTGAAGAAAGAACACTTGGATGAGATATGGTTGATTACATGCCTGCTCTGCACATGCCATGGTGGATGATGCATTACCGAAGTCTACAGGGCCAATTTAAATGGATTTTAGAATATACTTCTTATAAGTTTGAAATATTTTCTTTGTGATATTATAGATGTAAGTTGAAAAAATACTTCCATTTATGGTAACCATTTATAACATAACTTCAACAAAAACTTTCCTAAAACAAATTATGTAATATCTTTACTTTTTTAGTCCTGTACTAAAACAATCTCAGCAAATGTTGAAAAATGTAAAGAAGTATACTGTTACATAACACTCGACAAATACCCCTAACCTACATAACACTAACATAGCCCTTCCTTCTTATTTGTGTTATGTATCTTCTGGATGACCCCTAAGTTTGAATGTAATTTTTATTGGGATATTATTCAGGTCTAGGCTGAAGGCTGAGTGAAGTAAGAAAACCTTTTCAAATTAAAGTAAAAAAGACATTTATAGCTTGCAATAAAAATAGATCATTAATTGATACATATTCTACTAATAATTGTGAATTTAAATTTTATTTCATGTTCCATAGTTGTCTTCAATAAATATAATTTCTGTGGAATGCAATAATTAGCTATGAAATACAAATAAGGGCATGTTTGTAGGATTTTGATGTAGAACGTGACAAATATGGACGGCCTTTGAAGAGTGTTGGGGGTGGAGGTGGAGGAGGCAGTGTGAGTGCCAATAGATTGAGAGATGAACCACGTGGTCGATGGGATCCTGCACCAGGTCAAGCCTCCCTTGGTCAGGCTGGAGCGTCACCTTCCCAGAAATGGGGCAATACATATGGTTTAAGTCCACAGTTCCTGGAATCGCTCTGCATCACAGGACCTTTGGGTACTAAGGTTTTTGTGGCAAATGTAAGTGAACACTTAACATAAATTTTGTTAAATTGAATCCTGTTGGCATTTGTAATTCCTTGATGTTGTTGTTAAATAGTTGGACTACAAAGTTGATGAGAAGAAGCTCAAAGAAGTATTCAAGTTGGCTGGGAAAGTTGTTAATGTTGAGTTGTCTCTGGACAAGGAAGGGAAAAGTAGAGGATTTGGAGTTGTGGAATATGAGCATCCAGTTGAAGCAGTACAAGCAATATGTATCCTTTTGAAAAAGTATTATTTTTGTGTGGTGGATGAAATGTAATGTTGAATGCATAGTGGGTTCTAGCTTTTTTTTCTTTCCTGATGACAGTGTATGGAATTCAAGCTTTCTGTTTTTATTGTAGAAGCTGAATGTAAATTGGATAGATCCTGAGGGAGGAGGGAGAAATTAAACTTTCTGCACAGAATTATATAATATAAATAGTTATCAATTTTGTAGTAAAGCCCAGTGCATTTTTAATAGCTTGCGTTGAAAACGGTAGACATGTGCAAATTCAGAGATGTATCTTAATTTTAGCCTGAGGCAATTTCTGGCTAAGTCCAAGTATGCTTTGAGCCTGTTCCTACTTTGGACATAATCTGCTGGTTTTGGACAATGTAAAGATTATTTATTAATGGAGTGTACCCTGAGAAATGCAAATAATTTTACAAAGTAAACATCACACAAGTTACATGGCAAAATGTGTATAATTAAAGAAGAAAGCTAATTACTATGAGAATATAGAACACACAGCAAAACAAATTACTGCCTCAGTGAGTGAGAATTAAATTTAAAAGCAGTAAATACAAACAAATAATTCTAACCATAGATTTAGACATTTGTTATATTTCAACTCGGATCATAAGAAATTAAAGCCAACTAAATTTAATCGTGGGGAAAAATCAATCTTAATAAATTGCTTAAGCATGATTTAGCAAAATTCACTCTCACCAGGTACTGTATGCTGCCTTTCTAAGCTCTTATTTGATTTCTATAAACATGTACAGTGTTTGTACTATTTGAAGGTAATTTTCTTCATCTTAATGTGTAGAAATAAAATACTAGCTGTAATGAAATTTCAAATATAATTCATTATAATGAAAACATAGGTCCCCAATGGGACTTTGTGGAAATACTGTATTAGCCATCTTGTTGACAGTACTGTACTACAGGTAACAATGGCAAACATTTGTTTTCCAGTGTGGAATTACAATACTTATTCATATGTTAGTAATCGTGTTATGTTAGTTGCAAGAAAGTAAAAAGCTTGTTTTTTTTTTTTAATGAACTTTTTTTTACTGGCAACATTTGGTATGCCAGATTTTTAAACTATAGATACACCTTGAAGCTTTTGAGTTTGGGTGACTGAAAAGTTGCTATCAAAACTGCATTAAATGTATGAAAATGATTGTGAAATACTTCTTAAGAATTGTAAAATTAATGAATTCTGACAATGTAGGTTTGTTCTTAGTTAAAATGATCTTCAGGTTTGCCACACCTCTTAAAGTGTGTTTTTTGCACTAGTATGAGAAGATAATCCAAAAGAACATTGGTTTTGGAAATTGCAACATTTCAATGTGTTACTTGGACAAAATCATGTGTGAAGTAATAACTTTCATCTTGTTCGGTTTCATTTAAATGGTAGTCTCAGGCCTCTGCTATCTACTTAAATATTCTCTGCAACACAGAAGGTCTTTTATGCTATGAAAAGAAAGCAAAATACCCTGTCCACTAAAGTGCAGCTCCTGACTAAGCAAGAAATGGAGCCCAAATTTGCATTTGAGGAACAGATTATTAAAGTATATTGGTTTTCTGAAACCCATCCCATATTTCAGTACTGCCTATTTCCAAAAAGTACCCGTTTGCCACTTTGTCTGAAAGCTGCATATATGGTTTTTGTGGATTTTGGTATGTCCTGATACAGTGAATGACCATTTAAAATCTGTTTAGAATAAGGTTTTTCACTAGAACCAGTCATGAATTGTACCAAAAATTACAGAATCACTAGGTTCATTGAAAATGTAAGACCTTCCAATTGCATCATTATTATTCTCATCACCACTTACCTAATATCACCTTCATTACTATTCACACTATTGTTTCACAGAATTCACCATCACACTGGATCACTTAAGTCACTTGCATAAATTTTTCATTTTGTCCCCTCGACCATACTGTGATAATGGTTTACATGCCTGATGTATAAATTGATGGTTCATGCTCTTTTGTCTAATGTGCATAATTCTTGCTTGAAAATCCATGGATTCACTTCAGATTGAGATAGCATCACTAGAACCTGATCGATGGTAGAACTCGCCAGAAAATGTCAATGGGTGCTTTCGACAGCTATGGGCGGAAGGGAGAGTTCCTCTTTTGGCATGGCTAAGGATTAAATTTCGGAGTTAAAGAAAAATCTATCAATGATTACTATCTGTAAACAATGTTTCGTGAAATTTCCTTAATGTATTCAACAGCTATGTTACACAATCAAATGTTGTACGATCGCAAATTGACAGTAAGAATGGACAGAGCAGATCAAAAACCAGATGGACCTCCAAAACTCCCTGAAGGTTTAAGAGCAATTGGGATGGGCCTTGGTGCTGGAGGTGCTCCTTTGCAGGATGTTGCAAGTATGTTTCTTATGGTTTTGTGCTTCAGAATGGTTTTAAAGGTTGTAGAAATAAAAGTAATGAATGATTTTTCACTTCAGGAAACCTACCGAATAGTCAACAAGTTTCTTCAGGCTTGGTAGCATCAGTACCTGCGGGAGCTGCAGCAGGATTAGGAGCTGCTGGATTGGGTAATGTATTAGATTGGACATAATGCTAAATATAGTAAAAGCTCTTCAGGGATCTGCACAACTGCAGACAAAGTAGGCATTCCTTAAAGTTACTCACTCTTTTCAGCTGAAGTTAGTTTTTATTTTGACTGTAGACAAGAGAAGCCATAACATTAACCTCTAGTTTGCCATGTTCTTGCTGCATCTTGGATTTCTACTGTTAGTTTTAAAATTGCCAGGGTTGGGTTGAGTAGGCAGTGAACTGATGTAGTGTTGTGATAGTTAAGTTAAAAGGAGTTAGGTGTGGGTAGAGAATGTTTAATCTAATGTAATAAAATTACTTGCCGTCCTTAGAAAGTTGATGGTAGACATCTAAAAGTTAATAGTAGCTCTTAATGTCGAGCAATATTTTTGTGTTTATTGGTCACACAAACTTTCATATTGGCATTCTGTTTAAAAAGGTGTTCTCTAACCATTACATGCTTTCATTAATGTCTATATTAATTAATTTTTTATTTAAATTATGCTTCATGAATTAGTCTTCACGTAAGTATTGTAATTCACAAATTTTAAGGCCATTTTCCTAAATGTGCAGTGGGGCAATTATGGATAAGCTTGCATTCAGAAATGCAAAATTGTGGCTTTCCATGTCCACTAGGATTTTTGCTAAATTGTAACAGCACTGAAACTGGTTGCTTTGTCATAAATATTACAAAGCAATTTGTTATTAATGCTTTTTTCTTGGTATTGTATTGTGTACTCATACTAGACTTCTATTCAACACGGAGGCAAAGGTACAGTTGCTCATTTGCCATTTCTCTTTTCTTGTGCATGTTTGATAGAATGGACATGGAAATGTTAGGGTGTCAGTGTTGTCTTCTGTAAACATTAATGAATTCAAATATTGTGCAGAAATATGTTGCATATACTTTTTAAAGTATAAGGTCTGTGCTGTTTTGCTTTCAACTTCTGATTTTAATGTGCAGTTGAGGTAGCAAGTAATTCATTGTTGCTTTCTTTCCAGGTCTTGGGAATACTGCTGGTCTGCCAGCAAACTTGGCTGGAGTAGGGGGGTTGGGTGCAGGAGGGTTAGTAGCTGGAGGAGCAGGAGAGATTGGCCTGGGAGCTAGTTTGGGTGGGGCTGCTGGTGCATTTGCTGGTTCAGGCCTTGCCACTGGGCTTGGAGCTGCTGCAGCTGCAACCGGCCTTGGTGCAGGCCTTGGTGGAGCAGCTGCTGCCCTTGGAGGAGGAAATTCTTATGGAGGTGGGTTGGGGGCAGGAAACTCCAATTCTTATTTAGGGGGCAACAGTGGTGGATATGGGGCTGCATCATCATCTGCTCTAGTTGGTGGCAATTACGGCAGTGGAAACAGAGAATTTGATAATGTAGGGTTAGGTGCAGGTGGTGTTGGAAGCAGCTATGGATCTGGTGTTGGAGATCGCTATTACAGAGGATCATCAGCTGGTGGTTCCAATCATGCAAATGGCCCTGCTCGGGGTGGAACTGGAGCTGGAAACAGAACTTCAGACACAGTAATTGTGAAAAATGTAAGCAAGATAATTTTTTGATATTCTTACCTGACAAATTTTGTGAGTATCTGTTTAACATTTGTTTTGTTTGTAGCTTCCTCCATCCACAACATGGCAAATGCTTCGTGACAAATTCAGAGAAGTGGGTGATGTTGAATTTGCTGAAATGCGAGGAAAAGACTTTGGGCTTGTCCGTTTCACCAATGAGTGGGATGCTGAGCGTGCAGTTCGTATCCTTTTTTAAATTTGAATTTGCATTGTGCTTCATAACTCAAACATATGTAAAATATAAGACCTGGAAAATATTTATTTATATACTTTCTAAATGTGATGTTGTAAAGCCTACATATTAAAATCTGAAAACTATTTGTTGTGCCACTATACAATAATGGGGAAAATAATTTTTTTAATTATTTTATTTCATTTTCTTTTCCCCCTGTAAGTTAGTTGTCAAAGTTCTTGGATAACACTACATGTAACAATCTCATTGTATGACCAAAAATTAAATTATGGAATCATACTAATTCTTGGAGTAACCTTATTGTAGGTTTTATGAAATAGTAAATGCACTAATAAAATTGTTTGACATTTTGTTCTTAGTTATTTTTCTGAAAATAAATTAAGTGCTTTAGGGAAGCAATAGTAAACATTAGGAAGCTTTTAGGATATGTGAAACAGTGATAAATCATTCATTTCTGATGCTAGTATTGGAAATTAATATTCCTGTGCTCTGAATATTGGTGGATTATAAATCAAGGCTTGATACAAAACTAGGCAATGGGTATTTAGAATCTTCTGGTCATTAGAATATTTGTAGGTAATCTTTAATACATTTTGTGTATAATAATAATTATTATTATATTATTGTTGAATGTTTATTACTTTAATTGTACTTGTTTATTTTAAAGATTTTCTTTAATTGAAATTCAGACATGATGGATCGCTCCCGTCTTGAAGGGAGAACAATTGACGTGTGCCTCTTCTAAGTAACTTCTGAGGCAAGCAAGTGTTCTGTTCTTTTATTCTCATCATTCTCTTGCTCGATACTTGTCTTTTAGAGTTATAGCATTAGGGACACTAGTTGTTGCTGAATAATAATACGTAAATAGGGTCGTGTATATGTTGACTGAAGTGAAATACAGATGCACAGTGTGAGTTGCTGTCATTGTCAAACTAGGTTGCGCAAAAGTGTCGTTGTCTTATGTTTGGACATTCTTCAATAATTGAAGAACATTGATTAGGGATTTCCATATCATTTTAGTCGCTACATTGATGTGTAGGGATTTTTGTATCTGTGAATTTTAGTTTTTTTTTGACATGTGAATTCTTATGTGTAGGGACAAGTGTATTAGTCATGTAGGATGATTGTAAAAGAAAATGATCATTAATAAATTGACTTTTATTAAATACTTATTAATTTCGTTCTTGTGGACTAGTTAAAGTGTTGGTTGCGCATTTCGCATCAGACTTGGACGACAACAAGGTGATGTTACATGTGTCTGTTTTTTTGGTCACAAAGTATTGTGTAAATTGCACAGAGAAGAAGAGTTAAGTCTTCATGGAATATTTTCTTGTTTAATTGGAAATAAAGTGCGGCTGTCATGCTATTCTCATCTGAGAAGCTTTGGTGTTGTGGCTGCGTTTTATTTCCATTTCCTGTGCTCAGAAATCTGTTGTTAAGAAAGCTGTTGCCAACAAGCCTGTTCCCCATGTCCTGTGTCTGGGTTGTGGAATATCTTGTTGGTTTCTTTTTCTGGCGGAATTGGTAAGTGCACTCTATTTGGGTTTGTAATGATCATAATCGATCATGGTGAATGATGTTCAGGTGCAGTAAAGGACTGGTAAGTTGCAAACTTGGGGGTTGCCTGTCTGGAAAAATGGTTAAAACAGTGTGCACCATCTGTCTTTTGTGCATATGCTGAGAAATTGGTAAGTGTACATGTATGGTTTTTTGGTGCCAAGAGTATTCCCATTTTGATAGTTGGTTCACACCAAACGAATTTCATAAATTCTTGACATTCTAATACTCCATTGACTAATTGCAATTCATACTATACTTCATTTCTGTGGGGTAGCAAAGGCTATTGCAAAATTCGATCGTCTATTTGAGCTATTTTTCAAAAAAGTAAAGTTGCAGTTTGTAACAGTGAATTGCAAAATCTGGAAATCCTTGTTTGAAAGATGACACTTGAATTTTTTCTGCGGGATGCTGTGGGGTTGCTTGGAGGAGCTGCTGTCCCTCTGGGAGATTTGCAGATGTTTTTCTTTGCCCACTCTTTCTCTTTTATTAGGAACGATTCCTCTCTGGCCCTCTTTTCTCTTTGCAGTATTCTTGCCAAGGGGGGGGGGGGTTATAGTTGCGAAGTTTGCTCTGCACTGAAATTATCGAATCTTTTTTTAGTGAGAATAATCTATTAATATATTTTGTCAATGCTTAAATGTATCTATTTTAATTGCATAAAATTTTTGCTATAATGTTGTACCAATTGCTTGGAACTTGATTTTGAAGTTTTTGGAGAGATTTTGTCTAACAAAGAAAACAAGGTGGGAACAATATGAAAGTGACACTAGACCTGATTGTATTGTTAGAAGTTTAGATTCTAGGAGTGGGTTGCGATAACCTTTTGTGGTTTCTTTCATTAGTATTTGTTAACATTGTTCCGAGATCCTCTGGCAACTTCCAAATAGACCGTTTCTCCTCCAAGTCACTTGTTTTTTATAGTTGTTGTGTGACATTTCTTCTTGGGAATATTGAAGTAAAAATACATTGATGAGCAGAAGTTTGAATTACTTAGTGGTGGTTAGAATATTGCATATTTGAAGCTTTTGAGGTCTCCAATTACTGGACATTCTATTTAACGTAATACTTGTGACAGTTTGTGAATATTGGAAAAGTATAGTAGGAGTTCTGACTTCTAGTCTTGGTACATTTGTACATTTCTGCAGGGAGCTGGATGGGAGCTGCTGGCATTCTTAATAGCTTTTAATTATTTTTTTTGACGAAGTGACAAATTTGTCCTGTTATAGAAGTTGTGGGAGGCCTCATTGTACTGCCTTGCGAGGATTGGCGAGATGGTTGTAGCCAGGGTATGTTACTTCCATCCCTTATGTAATTCATTGTACCAGTAGATGGAGTTAGATTGTGCGATGCGAGATAGCTCTGGGTCCATTCACAGCACAGGGCTGTGGTCCAGGAGTGCTGGAAGTGTAGTGGATTTGAAACGGAAAGCCTTTGCACCAAAATACATTTTACTTACCAATCCTATTTCTTCCCTGAATATATTCCCTGTGCCTTTGAGAATTGGGTAAGTAGATGGCATTTCCTTCGCCTTTTGTGGCAGAGCATTACTGGTTTGCGTTTGATGTATTTCCTCACTTAAACATTTTGCATGAAATATTCCATTTATGCTACAAATGTGAATCTAGCTTTTGGAAGCAAGTTTAAAATGCTAATAATGCATAATGGAATACTTGATGAGAAGTTCATATAAAATATAGTATGTTAGCTCTTTCTAGAAGAGTAAAACACTTAACAAAAGCATTGTTTGCTTCATAATTTCTTGGCATACTAGCAAATCAAATTGTTAAATTAGATTTGCTTTGCATGTTTTAGATGTACACACCAGTTTTAATAATTTTGCCAACATAGCTTTGTATGTTTAAAAGGAATGGAACAGATGCTGCTAGGCAGAAACCTCCCATCAAATTTGAGGAAAAAAAAATTTAACTGGGGATGGATGTTGGAAGTTTGAATTTTCATCTTCTGGAAGCATGTAAGTTCAATCATGAGTAGTGAAATGGATGTTAGTGAGTAGCTTGAAGGGGGGGGGGGTAGTATCAACAAGACATTCTGCTGACATATGCAGGCTATTTACTGAATTCCAAAAAGGGTGTGAAGATTACTGCATGGATTTCTGTTCATTAATTTTCTCTTTTGACGTAATAAAGAGAAATGCATGAAAGCAACTCTGGTGAATTTTTGTAGAAACAAGTGGTGTTATATTTAAAAAGTTGGAAAAATTAAGGCCTGTAATATCTACCCCTATCAAAGTTCAGAGTTAAAATTGAGTATTTGCTTTTGGCAAATCTGCAAAGTTAAAGATTGCTGAATGCATGTTTGTATTGAATTTAAATGAATTGACGGTAGAAAGGGAGATGGTCATTTGGTATGAACGGCATTGCAGAAAACCCTATGTTGTAGTGACAAATGACACTTTGAAATGCATCTTACATTCAAACGGAATTCACATATTTCTTAAAATTGTTGATTATTATTTTTGTTAGGTTGTCTCCCCCTGAACATGTTCTTGAGATAAGCTACACATTAAATGTGGACCATGTAACAAACGTGTAGTGATTGGAGAATACTATTCAGAGGCCCAGAAAGAGACTTGAATTATCCCTGGGAAGGTTAGTAGTACCCAGAATCTTTCAGTAATGTGTATTATGTAGTCAAATACTTATTTTGAGGGGAAGTCAGTCCTGAAATGCTGTGAAATGTTGTGTTGTCTCCATTTGGAATACTGGTATGTAAACTCAACTAATTTATTCACTTCTTTCACTATTGAAAATACAGGCAGATTGAATTGCAACAAACGTGTTGGCCATTTGGCGAACTTTTGAAAAATTCAGAATGGAAAGAAAACAAAAGGCCCTACGGAAGTGTAAACATTTCAATTTTGTGTAGGATCTTGAATAAATGATGGTAAGTCTTTGGAATAGGACACATGAAAGTAGTTATAGAATAGATGTGCTGTGAAAATTTTTAATGTCTTCAAGTTTTGATATATTTGGAATTAATTGCAGCAAATATTCTGTGTCATAATGATGGATAGCTGCAGCTCAAATCTGAATGAATGAATGAGTAAAAATAGATAGTACATTTCCATAAATGTATAGAAGCAAAATAAGGCAAGTTCGCAATGAGATATTCTTAGAATGGAGTGTAAACTGCGAGTGACTGATGCAATTGAAGATAACTCTACCGATTCATTCTCTTTAGGAAAGGTTGTAGAAGTTCCCTAGTTAATCTTCTTTGCATAATCCACATTGGGGTGATACTGTAAAGGGAAGTTCATTTTCTATAAAAGGATGTTATGTTTCAGATTTAATATGGAAGATTTAAATAACTCCCATATGCAGAACTTAAGCAATCATTGCCAGGCTGAATGGTGCTAGCACCACAGACTCGAGTGATGGAAATGGTAAATCCTTTAGTAAAACTACACTTTTCAAATGTACCTGTAATGGTGTTCCATAGTTGGATAATGGTTTAAATGTGTAAGCTCTAGCAATATTTTATATAATAAAAAATTAATTGCAAACCTTTCAGAATGTTTTATTTATAATTTGAATATATTGTTCCCAAAATGTGTTATAATCTATATTATTTATACGATATACCATTGAATCATTTAGGTGCTTTTTTCCTTAATTAGGATGCATTCTTTATTTAGTGTGATGGATGTAAAGTCATATTGGTGGGACCCCATTCCCCCCCTCCGAATTAATATTAAAACATAATTAGGACTAACTGCTGTTATGTCATGGTATTGTGTATTTTGTCTAGGGGTGCCTGTAACACTAGCTAATATTTTGAGAGTGCGATTGCAACAGCTAACTAATAATAGCATAAGAGACTACTCGAATTGTCTGATAAACTAATGTGAAGCGATATCGATTTTTCTTCTTGGTTTCAATGTCGAGTAACGCTAGACAGCCTTTCTGATCGGTTTGCTGCTTACGTCTCGACGCGCTTTCCCGTCAGATAGTGCGAGAACATCTATTTTAACAAAAATTATTGCAGCACCAACGTCTGTTCTTTCACGCAAATTCGCAGAAGTGTTATGAGGCTTGTAGGGGAAGAGCGAAGGCAGAATTGGGGCTGACGATCAACCTCTGAACGTGTTAATGGGAAACCATGCGATTACACGTAATAAACCAATATCCAGGAAATGAGTGTAAGGGCTGCTGTGGTAGAAAGGATGCAGGAAAGAAACTTGTTCTGAAGAACAGGTTCCAGACCGCAAGCATTAAGCACCCATAATGCTTCAAAAGACACATTTAAGCATGCGTAGGTAACCGAGAAATGACACTGAAAGAATTAGTTTTTATTCAAAAACAAGGCCCCTCAACGCGTAAAATTTTGCTGGCCGACCGGCCAGTCAATCCTACAAATTGCATCGTGTGGGCGCAAGTTGAACAAGATTTTTTTTGTCGGGTGAGTGGTTGATCCTGACCACGACCGCTGTATCCTCACCGTGCTGGCAAAAAATGTGTAGCAGGGAAGTATTGGGCCAACTTTGTTATTCCAGACCTCGAAACGCTGCCTCGAATGTGAAACACTTCTTTAATTGGAAAATGCTCAAGGTTTTGGGAGTGATTGCCAACATGTCGAAAATTTCAAGAAATAAAATTACGGATCACGTTTGTCGGATTAAATAAAACAAAATGAAAAGTTCCTTTAAAAATCTGCAATGTAGGCGAATTTTAACAATTTATAGTATATAATATATAATAGACTTATATATATAATATATAATCTATATATATTATATATATATATATTATATAGTATAATAATGTACTATTGCACAAGTTTTTTTTTTCTTCCCCCCCAGGATTTCTAGTTCATTTTTTCACATCAGTAATTAACAAATACTCAGTATTTTCTGGGACTGACACTATTTTAAGTCGAGTTATATTTGTACAAAACCGTAATTTAAAATGTAAAAACCTGACGGTATTTTTCACTGCCGTAATCAAAACTGTTGCATGTAGTCAGCTTTCAAACCGCACTGTAGATGAATACAAAAGATATGTTCATCGCCTGCGTTTTAACTGCAATGGTAAAATATTGTGATCATAAACCTATCTAAATGGGATTTTCATTTGGCCAGATTTTCGAGGTCAGGAATCACTGTGCAACAGCCTGACTCGCATGGATGCAGACAGCATGCTCGCGTAGATATTACCTTCTCAAAATTTTTAGTACAAAAAAATTTATTGTTCGTTGGACAGTGTGTAGTTCTTAAAATAATTTAAAAAAGCAATCGGAAAAACAAATTTTTCCGATTGCTGAACTAGTTAATATCTTTTAATCCTAGATTGCTATCGCGTCCTGTCAGGCGACCCAACTAGTGCCGAAGGCTTCTCCGCAAACCCTTCCCCTCGCTCACCGTTTCTGAAATTCTAAGTAACTTCATTATGTATCTAATGAAATATGCGCAACCTTGAGCCCGTTACTGTTTCTGGTGCACGCCAACACGCGTCGTCCAGTAAACTACGCCTTTATAATTACGTCAATATTTTTGTGCTATAATGCCGATTGTTGTGAATAATGAATACGAAAATAATTGTTTTTAAATTCATTTCCGCTTGACTCGAAGGCAGTACGAGTACGATACATAGAGGGTACATTGAATTATTGTAGCACTGTTTAGGAAACATTGTCAGACGAATTTATTAAGTGCACGCGGGTTAAATGCGCGAAATCACACCGGAACTTGATTACGAAGGATCGAAGAACTGTCGTGGTAATTTCCGCTTAAGTCTGTTATAGTGAGGATTTTATTTTCCGATTTTGAAATGTACGGATGAGGGAATCTGGGGAATTGTAGGTTAGGGAGAAATGGATAGAGGATGTGGATTGTAGGTTAGGGAGAAATGGATAATGGATGCCGAGTTTATTATGTAACTGGGAGTTAGGTACAAACCAGAGAAATTTATAATGGTTCAAAGGAAAATATGCCCAGAGAGCATAGGATAAGTTTGGACGGACCATTGATTGTTATAGGTGAGTAGCAACATGAAGTCGCAGGGTTGACTTTTTGAGAGTGGGTTCTACGGGTGGCCAGTTATTCTGTGAAGAATATTTGTTTTTCTAGCGAGCCTTGTATCAAAAAGTACACCAGCATATTTGACTGTCTTGTTGTTAGAGAGCCAAGTTATATTTTCTCCTTCATACTTATGGAGAGGATTATTTGGTCTGCAGAGCGTGAAGATTTTGGCTTGACTTATTGCTGGGTTAATCTGGATGTGCCATTTCTGCCCAGTCGGAGAGCCTTTAACCCCTGGGAGAGGCGATGTTGCAGGTCTTCTTGTGCGGTGTTAATGCCACGGTTTGAGGAATATATAGCGGCATCATCAGCAAAAAGTGCAATGGAGGCATGTGGGGTGGATGGTATATCGGCGGTATAAATGTTAAAAGTGTGGGAGAGAGAACAGGTCCTTTTGGTACTACTTTTATGGGGAAAGATGAATAAGCTCTAGAAAGGTGGACTGAAAACTTGCGATCTGCAAAGAAGCTTTTGTTAAAATGAATAAGATAGTATGGGATTCCGATGTGAATAAGTTCGTATACTAGTCCTGGATGAAAAAATGTGTCACAAGCTTTAGCTACATGGTGGAATATTGCGATTGCGTTCATGGAAGTCTTCTATTAGATCTTCGGTTAGTCGTAATATTTGGTGAGTTGAAGTTCCTAAAGAGGACAGAAGACTAATTGGGCGATAACTTGACTTTTCTAATTTCAGTATGGGAATGTGGGCTTGTTTTCATTGCGGGAACTTGCACGACCGATGGGCGTGTCTGAGGGAGGGGGGCGGATGCGCGATTGCCGTGGCCGGAAGCGGTGAGCACTAGTTCGTAGCGACTACCTGGCGGCATACACTCATGGCAAGCGGACAAAGAAAAGGAATATTGAAGAGAAATAGTTGTTAAATAATGTATTACACTGCAATCAGAAGAGAAATAGTTGTTAAAATAATGTATTAACACTGCACTATGTCGAAATTGATCAGCATATAATTTTCCTGGTGTTGAATGAATATCAAAATCAGCACATCATGTTAATTACAACGTAATAGTTAACCGCGGTCTATTTTATGGATGATATGATATATTCTACAAAACATAATAAATGCTGTTATAATACTCTCTAGACGGCACCATTCGGAACTTACTTGACTCTTGTCCTGAAGGTCTTGCCGCGGTCAGCGCTGCAAAAGGAGCTTTCAGGATTTTGACTGGTGGCCATATTAATGTGACTGGACTGTGTAGAAGAATTAACATATCACAAATAGTCGGACGGATTTTCTAAAAGTTTGAACTTGACGTGTCCAATTTTGTTAGAATTTTTCCTTTTATTTCAGAAACAAAATGAATGAATTCGTGGTGTTTACTTTCCCGTATACGTGCGTATACTTTACGGAATAATTATACATAATTCAGGGAAAGTTATAATGCCTGCAGAAAACCGATTTCGAGATTTCAACAGCAATACCCGTTTTGGGATGCCCTCATACCGAAATTCTTTTTTTTAAAACATCCGTCCGACCGTTCGTTCGTCCGTCTGCCCGTCTGTCATTCTCTAAACATCACTAGCGACAAACTAGCGAGAACTTTTCCAAAATTTATATTCCCCGTTCGATCTGGCTGCACTCGAGGCGCCGCGATTTTGAAAAACTTTCTTCAAAATTTGGGGGTTCTTTACATGAAGCTCCCCGAACATTTTGAAAATTGTTTCAAAAATGGCACCAACTTTTTTTCTTTAAACTTTTGGTAGGGATAGTGGTAAATGAATTCTATAAGATGACATAAAAGCCGTGTTGCTCTATTCTGTTGTTTTTTAAAAAAAAAATACAGATATGTAATTTTTTTGACTTGCCTCTCACGTTGTTTAATTTATATTAGCAGCAATTTGTCCACGTTATTGTATTTATGAGTACATGTGCTTTAAATAATGTCATATAAAGTGTCTCGAAAAATCAATCATTATCTGTGGAAACTAGCTCAAAGTTACAGATTCTCAGAAACGCTCAACGCCAATTTCTTGAAAACAGCTCCAAATTTTTTCTTCAAACTTTCCAAACAAAACGTTTCCTGTAAAAATCGGATTTATGCAATATTTAAATTTATTATAAATTTATTTAACTCTATTACGATGTTATAAAATTTTTTAACAAATTGGTGAAAATTTTGAAAATATCACAGGGTCTTTATGCAATGTACCCCCAAAATTTGAAGAATATTTTTTATAATCATTGAGTCGGGCGCGACGGATCAAGAAATATTCATTTTGGAATGAATCCAACGAATAGCTGCGCTAGTGTTGTTGACAGACGAACGCAGGAACGTTTTACCCTAAACCAATTTTTCATTATCGAGAACCCCCAAATTGTTGTTTCTGACTATACAATGTGTTAGAGCTAATAATTTACTACATATTGGAACAAGATTTATTTACTTTTCTTTGTAAGGACAATAAGAATTTTTCTGTCGAAAAATTGCCGTTTTTAGTTGCTGCATTACATAACATTCGCTATAATACGTGTATTACTCCGTATTATACGTACCTATATGACAA